TGACTCTTAAGTTGCAGTGTCCATGGGCGGCGATAGTTACTCAACATCGTTCGACCCGTCTTCCGACCGTCTCAGGCAGTGGGCCATCAAACCACCACTGTCTCCAATGTCTGAACGTACCATCTTCAGACGAATTTCTCAGTATCGTTAGATCCTTGCCGCTAAACAAGGCTTCGGGCGATGTTAAAATATCAAACAAAATGATAAAAGAAGCTTGTAAACTTTCGTGTGACACGATTTTGACTGTTTTTAAACGTTGAATTGCTTAAGGAATATTTCCTCGTATTTGGCGGTGCGGTATTTGTGTAATACCAAAACACCGGGTGACATGTGGGGCGGTATACTATGGGGATCTTGTGTCAACTAGTGTCAATTTCCGTGGGTTTAGGCGATTCTGCCATACATATTATAAAAATCTAATATAGCTCACTTAGGACCCATAATATTTTGTGGCCGTGGTGCTTTCCTGTTTAAAAGGGTGTATGCCTATTTTAACTTCATTTTGTCTCCTGCTTTGCTAAGGATTGGATTGGATTGACTGTATTTCCAACTCCTCCAATTTTCTTCTGATTAATTGCGTTGCGGATGCCAAGACAATTTAATTTTTCCCGAGACTGGGAAACTCGGGAGTGTCAACCTGGTGTATAGGAGTTACAGTGGTGGGGGTGTGGGAGGGACTATTCCGTCTTCCGACTGTCATCGTTTGCTCGCTTGCCCTCAAACACCATAAAAAAGATCGCACTGGACGGCGGCGAACTGAGCTAGAGTCCGCGAGTTAGCCGCGAAGTTAACCGAACGACGCACAATACTTTACGAACTCAGTTTCAGCGCGGTCGTTAACTAGATTTTTTGTCCGAAACCGAACGGTCACTAAAATAAAAAATATCAGAGACAATATAAAATTTCATGCAGTTTCGGATATCTTTTTGGGATATCTTTTTTTATAGTATATAAATATAGTATTAATATAGAAATATAGTATAAATTACGGCCACTACAACCCCCTAAAGTATCTAGGTCTACTTAAACAGTAACTTTGTATAAAGGGTAACAAAACAAATATTCCGCCTCTTGAATATCTGTTTTTTTTTTAAATTAATTTTACTTGAGTGGATACCTACATTTTAGTGTAAGATAACCCTAATTTTATTTTCTTCATTTCATTTTCTACTTATCCTGCAAGAACTTTAAATGTATATAAAAAACGTAATTTACAATTCCTTGCAGGCCTGTATTAATTTTTCAGACTCAGAACAACAATTTGTGGATCACACAAAGTGTCGTTCCATGTGGGGTTTGAACCCACAACACTCGGCGCAGTAGAAAGCAGCGTGGCGACCGCTTAAACCGCTACGCCATCCGTGCAGTGTTTTAAATTACAAGAATAGGTCACGATCACGAATCGATCATATATCGACGTCATTGTATTTACTGCATACTTCATTTGCTTATGTCGATATCAGGTAATACCGTAACGATCCCGATTTATCCTCATATGTATACGTATTCAACGAAATATGAGTGTAAAATGTAACATGTAACCTTCGATCAAATAACTATAGATGCACACTCTAATACAAAAACAACGTCAAACCGCGTCACTCGAATGTATTTCATTTCTATTATATATATTCTTGCATTTTTTTATAATGCTATCCAGAAAATAAACAAGTTTATACAATGAATGTTCACGTGGAAAGATGTCGTAATAATTGCTCAAAAAACATCAATGTTCATCATAGTTGTCGCTTCCCTTGCTTTACGTACCTACTAGGTACGTATTCCATGAGCTAAAGTTTTAGGAAGTTTATGAAGTCAACATGTATGTAAATATTTTTCTTAATAATAATTAATTTTCCGAGTTAGAGTTTTGAGTTCCGCACCGAAGGGGTGCCCACGGAACCCTATTTTTGTTCCAAATTATTCAAATCACAGAGTAACTGTTAACCACGGAGCAAATACAAAGAGGAGAGGGTATAAGCAACTGTGCACTGTGATTCTAAGTAGGTCCTGACGTCATCACAGTGGGCGTGGTGCTTGTAGCGCAAAATTGTAAATCGGTATATTTTCGTGGTATTAAGAAGAAAAGGATAAAATTTTGTATTTTATCGTGTATCGTGTTAAAATAATTGGATAGACGTTTTGTTGTTATGGATTGCATTTCATTTGTAGGTAATTTAAACTTAATTTATGGAAATAGTTCTGGCAAAATCTCTTAGTGATTTTTGAAAAATAGTTACTTCTATTCGTCACTAGATGAAAAAACTTTGTGTAATTTAAACTAAAAATATAAAGGTACTTAAAGCTTAATTTTAGTCAAATAATACTGAAATTTTGCCAAAACAGTATAATAATTTTTTTAGTAATCATTTTGTGAACAGACTTATCAAAAACATACATAAACAGAACAAAAAGACAGGGCCGAAATTAGAATCCAATGTTAATCCAATAAAACACTTTTAATATGAAATTGTACTAAGGCTGATATTTACGAAATCCTAAAATTATAAGTGATATTCTAATTGCAAAAAAAAACATTTAATAAAATTTCAATATGTTTAGCATTACGTAAAAGTCAACCCAAAAAATGGTCATATACATACCTCAGCCTATGCTTGTCCACTGCTGGACATAGGCCTCTCCCAATGATTGAAAAATGGTCATAGTGTCTTATTATTACGCTGTGGTAATAATACCTCATAAAATAAAGTCTCCTTGAAAGTAAATATCCAAAGTATATTTCTACTGCACGACACCTATAATAAGAATTGTAGCTTAGTTAATTGAAAGTTATTTTAAGCTTTGGTTATTGTATCGTTTTTTTTTCATAAATTATTTTTCTTAGATTGGCGTTAAAAAGTGCATTCAGATGCCTAATTTGAAAAAATATATACCTTGTTTTTTAATTTGTAAATAAAATTACATTCATAATAATGATTTTGTTTATAACTTGATCTCCCTCAAAAGTGTTAAGTAAACTTAACTATGGGTGAAAACTTAGTGTGAGATAGCTAAACTAAATAGCTATATCTATATAGAACGATGCAAGTCGTTTTGCTATTATTTGGTAGATGGAAAAAAGTGAAGTGGGCGGCGCTTAACACCCCCTAACCCCGCAAATTGTCACGCGTTGTTTCATAGGGAAATCTAATTACAACACCTCTTTGTATTTGCTTCATACCGTTAACTTATTTTGTTCTGGTTATCGGTAATTTTCTTTTGTTTAAGTGTATTGCGTATTACTTTGACCATATAACAAGAACAACAACAATATAACATCTAAAAATATAATGATGATGATGATGATATAATATATTATTTAATTTCTTACGAATAAATGATTCCAAAGAAAAAAATCATAAATGATATTATTTTAATATTAGGTCTAAACTTATGAAGTTGGAGATTTGCATGTAAATTTTAAAATATTAAAATTTTGTCATTTTTTTATTTTAGCTAATCAAAGTACTGGCCCAAATGACCTATACAATTTTTTTGTTTGTTTATCCTTTTACTGTAGAAGTTGGCTGTATGGGAAGCGTTAAAGTCAGCGAAAGCGTTTTGTACTGCCTCTAGGGTGTTGAATTTTTCCCACTTAAAAATTGTCTAAAATTTGAAAAAAGTAGAAATCTTTTGGGGCAAGGTCCGGTGAATGCGGTCCAGCTGTAACTTTTGTAGTTCGCGCGTTGTCGTGGAGAAGCAATGGGGAAGAGCGATGGACCCGTCATGGTTGTAGAATGGAGAGCATCGTTTACAATTGTTGGCAATAGACACCTGCCGTCACTGTTGTGCCATTCGCTAAGAAGCTGTGATGTACAAGTCCGGCACTGGTCCACTATACAGTCACCATCATGTTCCTATGGGTAATTTTTTTTAGCGCATTAATTAGGTGCTGTACCCGGGTCCACCAGTGAGACGAACCCATTTTTCATCGCACGTAATACATTCAGGATTCCTTTGCTTTCTATGCCATCTCTGTAGTGCTATACATGCTTAGCTGCGTAAGTCTTGCTGATTGTCGCTTAGTTCGTGTGGCCCACTTATCTAGTTGAGTTGGATCCGCTTCCACTATCGCCTTCAATTCGTCGTTGTCGACTGAAGTTACCGGCCAATAATGGACCGTGTTTATGCAAACATTGTTAGGCCCGTACACGTCGTTATTGCCAAGTAGGAACTCATATTCGACAATTGTAGAAATTTTCAGTTTATCCATGATGCCAAAAAAACTACCAAAATTTTATAAAAACAAAACTATCTGAAACAAATGACTGAATTTTAAATTAAAATAACATGGCTGTCGAATAAAATTTATTTGGATTACGAATTGCGCGCTAATCCACAGATAATTAAATCTGAAAATGCTGGCTTTAAAAATCTTCAACTTCATAGGGAAAGACCTATTATTTTAAAATGACTCCATATCTATTAGTATGGGTCTTGTTCTAACGGAGTAGTGTGAGTGAGATCGCGCTATACGATATACGCGAGAGTGAGGAGAGCAGTTGAAAATAAATGAAAATAGTTGAATAAAGAGCAATTTTGACATGAAAAACAATTCAAAATATCACAACTCAGTTTTAACCGAAAATACGACACCATCATTTTTAAGTGAAGTTTTTGCATTTTTTACTGCACACCGGCATTGTTGAACGTCACACTACTAACGCGGTAGCATAGCGGCTGTGACAGCAACTGTGCATACTTCTAATTTAAGCCGAGTTAAGCTGGCAACGTTTTCGAGCCGTGGTCTGTAGTTTATTTGATAGGAGCATGTAACTTTAAGACTTAATACATTGAATAAGCCTACATTCTCGCACATGCAAACGCAAACTTAAAATTTACATCACTCGTTGACCCGGTCAAAAGTTATCATGTGATGAGGTTATCTTTATCGCCTACTTGTTTTGAGTTGTAGTGGCGTTGTTCTGATGACGATCTTAGTTCTATGTTAACATCGATTAATGCTAGATCTTTACGTGGTAAAAATAAAATAAAACAGAATGCCTGACGCTTTTGAAAGTGCGTATCCCCTCGCACCTACTCTTAGTCCGGAGGACATACGCGCACGAGCAAATTCGTCTTCCAAAACTAAACGACCAGTTATAACTTTCTTGGCCGGCGATGAATCCGTAGAAATACCAGACAAATCAGAGGTTGGTATAATGAGGCCGTTAAGGAAATCGGAGTTCGAATTGGACTGTTTCGCAGAACCGGTTATGATGGAAGCTCTTCCAAGCAGTACTTGGCTTGACAAAAGAGATCTTCAACACAGGTTTGTATGAGTTTTTAGTTATCAGTAATAAAAAATGTATAAAAATCAGCTCTTATGACGCGACAGTAATATGTGATCTGTCGCGTTGCTCTAGCCAAACCGCAGCAATTCTTATAAGATCGAACCGATTTCGACATTGTAAAATTTCGTATTATTATACATTTACATGCACTACATCCTTGTGACCGAACTGCAATCCTACCATAATCATTATTGAAAGTTGAGAAAACGTGTATGAATTTGGATATTCCAATAAGAACATGAACAGATTCCCAATTGTTTTATTTTTGTCGTTAAGCTCGTTGGTAGTTAAACAGTAAAAAAATATTTTTTTACTGTTTTTTCTGTGCCGATTAATATCTATTATCTACATAGATACACATGTATAAGTCGCCCACGTGACTAATATGGCATTATACATAATTCCCAAATAGTTTGTAAAACGTCTAATATGAGGAGCAATATAGGTACTTAGGTTGTAAATTCTCGGGCACGCCGTCATTGCGGCGGTAAGACCCGTTATGGAGGATTGGCTCGAGAGGCGTCACGGGACCCTCTCATACCGATTGACGCAGGTGATCACTGGGAAGGGATGTTTCGGAGATCACCTGTGTCTGATCCGCAAGGAGCCAACGCCTGAATGCCACCACTGCGATGGCCAGACCGTGGACACGGCTCTCCACACGCTGGCAGAGTGCCCGGCGTGGGTTGAGCAGAGGCGAGACCTCGTGGCGGCCATAGGAGTGGGAGTTCTCTCGCTCGATAGCCTGATTGCGGCTATCGTGCGGAGCGAGAGTGCGTGGAACTCTGCCGTCTCCTTCTGCGAGCAAGTTATGCTCGCGAAGGAGACGGCGGAGCGGGACCGGGAGAGGTTTAGAACTCTCCCGGCCCGCCAGGCCCGGGCACGGGCCAGGCAGCGCAGGCGACTCAGGCGCCGGAGGTCGCAGAACGACCTCCGTCCTCCATAAGCGCAGACCTGGGGGTGACAGGTGAGGCCATCTGTCACCCTAGCAGAAGCAGGCCGGGGTGGCGGCGAGCGCGTTGCGAAGCGCGCTCGCTTTCAGGGAGCACAGGGAACATGGGGTTCCCACACGGGGCGGGGGTCGTCTACTCGTCTGTAGATGACCCGAGGTATGTCGGGGCACCAGGGCCTTCCTTTCTAGGGAATACCTGGTTCCCCGGCTATTAGTACCCGGCGAAGGCGTGCGGTTTTAGTCGGTTCGTGTCCGACATGCCACCGACAGGTGGTATCCGAGGGGATTTCCGCACGGAAAAAAAAAAAAAAAAAAAGGGTTGTAAATTCTATCAAAAACTTTTAATGTACCTGTTTAATGATACAGGTTTTGATATTTATTTAAAAATTAAAATGAAATATATAATAAAAATATTTTTGGTCTGCAGAGCTTGTAGGTACTATAATGCTAGATTGACTGATAGAATACTTATGCACTTTTTTTTGTAAATACGTATTAATATATACTTACATAGAACTCTCCAATCTCCGAAACACATATTAAACGAAAGGTAATTAAATGTCCAATACCTTTTTTAATTATATTATTCGAAATGCCCTCCCCCATTTTGAGTTCATGCTCTTAATCGGCGCGGCTAGTCATCGATCACAGCACGCACCATATTTAAGCCTAAACTGAGACCCCAAACCTAACCATGAATACTGCCTATTTCGTCACTTGTGTTAAATTTGGCACGTAATCGGCGTTTTTGCAAGAAAAACAGTAATAACTAACATAAACTAGTGAAGTTAATATTGAGGCTACTATACACCGCGAGAGAATTGTGAAATATTTATAATGTTAGGAGGTAAGATGCCTAAGACTTTGATCCGATTTCCACAATTAGTGAATTCTACAAACGGTTTACAGTTACCGTTTAGGATTTATAAAACATGAAATAGAATGCTTACAACATGTTCGTTTGGAGATTTTCTGGTGAAATTAGAGATCGCAAATATGTACAATGAAGTTTATACGGTCAATATTTAAAATATTATGAATGTTAGTTTATAAATCTTTATAGAATAAATCACGGTTTCTTTTGCTAATAATCTAGTATCCATTACGATAATTATCCCTTATGGTATAGGTGATGGTAAATAGCAATGCGTCGTTGACCTTCAAACCATACCTGAAGCAGTATATTGTTTTTTAAATATATCATAAGTTCGATGTAATTCTCAATGGCCGTTAAGCAGAATTCTGTATACTAAAATCTACATGAAATTCAAACACAAATGGTGCGATCAAATTAAAAGCACTGTGCGGAATTTTCGTTTCAACATCGACTATTTCTGGTTTACCATTTTCAAGAATACGGTCGAGCCAATATTGGATGCTTGGTACATTAATAGTACCCATTTAATGTATGCGTTGATTATTTTAGGTTATAGGTTTAACTCAGCTTTATCTCAGCTTTAGCTTAACAGCTTTAACTCTAAATCAAATATTGGAACGAAGTTCCTTATCGCGCGTTGTGTAAGGGGGCTAGACGGAAAAAATTCTCACGAAAAGTTGTAACGACACTTTTTGCTATTGTAAGCTGTGCGGCGTGCGCACGTTTCTCTGTCTGTCTCTCTCTCTCTTATAGAAAGCAAGCCAGATATTTTCGTTTCGTCTTTCTATTTTTACATTATATTTGTTAATAATAAAAAAATATTATAATTTATTTTGAATTGTCACTTGTCAGTCATTCAGCGCCATCTATCGAATAGATAGGAAATCATTACTTTTCATCTCAGTAAAATTAAAATTTATGTTCTTAGGTTGAGCAAAAAATATTGTATTCGACATCATTTCTCAAGGCGATTTTACCAATGTATAAATTGTTTTAATTAGAAACCAACTGAAAAATATGTAGGTAATAGCCGCTTTCATATATGGCGTTGTAATTAAAATCGTGTCGAATCAGTTTTACTCGATCAAAACTTCGTTCCTATCGGGTGTCCCACGACACCACACGGCTTTTTTTAAATTATTATATAATTATATAATCTTGGTCAAACATTTACTTCATGAGGTTTATTTATTATTAAAAGACAATTATTAAAAAGACAACCCGCATTAGGAATATATCCTGTGTCGCGGGGAACTTTACAATGAAACGGACACAAAGAACACAGTGTCGTCGATGTCGTAGTGAGCGCGAGGCGACCGCTTAATCCACTACGACACCGACATGGTATATATGGGGGGGGGGGGGTGCGACGAGTAGGCGGGTCACCTGATGGTAAGTGACTTTCGTCGCCCATGGATACCTGCAACTCAAGAGTCTCAGTAAGTGCCGCTCAATTAGGATCTGAATTATTGCTATCAAGGAAATTAGATTTAACATAAGCAGATCCGGTACCAGTCATCGGATTTTTTGGTTTTAAAGATTAAACTCAAGTTTATACATAGCATACTCCACTTTAAAATTGCAAGTCCACAAACAATAGCTACTTACAGAAGTTGGAAGAACATCCATGGAACTGCTAGCCAATATATATATATGTATATTATTTATAATTATGTTAGTTAAGAAAGCGATGGGCAAACGAAGCGAATTTTATTTCCACAATTTAAATTCATAAAACCTTTCAAAAATAAATATCTAACATTATTTAAGTAATGTTATATTAAAAAAATATAACAGTTTTTTTTTAATTTAATGAAGTTACACACACACACACAAAAGAAAAAAATGATTGGCTGCATTCCCCCATCGTCCATCCGGATCCTCTCGGATGGTAAAAAGGTTCTGGCCGGCAACCCCTACACTTGTTATGAAATCAAAGTGATAGTTTAAGTGGGTAATTAACACAAACACCATAAAAATGAGAGAGGTAAAATAATAACACATGAACTTTATTTCTTTCTTCTTTAGCTTAGAGGCATGAGGCGAATTTATTCCACGAAAACTAATTTTTAACGTATTGCACCACGCGCAGCGTCCCGTTTTTAAGAAACACAGAAGTACTAACGCGACCTAACCCGGTATAGGCGAGTTTCAAAAACAAAAATTGCAAATGTAAAGTTCGGCAACCTTTTAATGATACTGGAAATTTTTATGAATAAAAATTTGAAAGATATGAATTTAAAAAAAAATTGAAGAAAAAACTGCGTGAATGATTCAAGAAGCTCAAGATTTAGCAAACTTTTATACACAGTTAACAGTTTACCTCGTAAAGTTCAATTTGTGTTACGCATTCAATTGTAAGATTAACCGTCTTGCTTGTTACCCAGCTAGGTTTGATAGCCTGTTTGACGTGCTATTTCTCCACTTCATATCTTTTCTGTATGTATAAAAATGTTCAGTTGTAGGCTTTAAAAACTCAAAAAGGGAAAAAGGTTAAGAATACGGAGTGTCACCACCCCTATTCATCCTGTGGGTGTCGTAAGAGCGGACTAAGGGAGTAAACTACGCAGGATAACAGCACTGCAAAGAGAAGGAAAACTTGACACAAAACCCGATACCAACCCGTCTGGCCAGCGTGGTGTAGTAGGCCAAAACCTCCTTTCTAAGGAGAGGCCTATGTCCAGCAGTGGACTATTAAAAGCTGTTGATGTGATGTGAACTCAAATTTTAACACAATATACAACCTACTTCAAAGATCAGACAATCAATTACAATATGTACTCGTAAATTGGATAATATCACTCGTACGTAACACATGCATTCAAAGAAAAAAAATTGAATGCCGTTGCTTTCACAATATTCGTGTCAAAGTCATGAAAAGTTGTTACTGAACGATTTCCCTTATTAAAATCATAATATTGATCTGTAATATCTGCAATATCGCTAAAATCCACATTTCCCTGGACTATCGTTACTGCTTATACCCGAAACCCTCGCGAAAGAAATAAATGTGACAGGAAACAGTCTGGCTAAAATCGGTTCCATTTCACACATTAAACAATAATGTTATCAATCCACATTTTTATTATGTTGAGATGGTGACCTATTCAAGCACATTTTTTTTTAAATGTCTAGAGGTTTTAATTCTT